GCGGAAGGATCGCCGGAGCCCAGCAGGTCGAGGCTGCGGTGGCCCGGAGTGGCCATGGCACTACGGTCTGGGCGACAGAGTGAGACTCCAACTCAAAAAAACAAAAGCAAAAACAGTTTTATTGAGATATGATTCACATACCTTATAATTCATTTATTTAATTTTCTGAGTCAGTCTCACTCTGTCACACAGGCTGGAATGCTGTGGCATGGTTTCCATTATCGCAGCCTCAACCTGCTGGGCTCAGGCCTATCCTTCCACCTCAGCCTTCCGAGTAGCTGGACCACAGGCTCAGGCCAACACACCCGGCTCATTTTTTTGATTTACTGTAGAGGCGAGGTCTCACCAAGTTGCCCAGGCTGGTCTCGAACCCCTGGGCTCAGGCAGTCCTCTTGCCTCTGTTTCCCAAAGTGCTGGGATTATAGATGTGAGCCACCACACCTGGCCAATTTACCTAATGAGAGTGTACAATTCAGTGGTTTTTAGTATATTCACAGTCTTGGTAAACATCACAACTATCTAATTCCAGAACATTTTATCACTCCAAAAAACACCACCAACAGAAACCACTGGACTTATTAGCAGTCACTCCTTACCCCACCAACCTCCCCTCCAGCCACTGGCAATCATGAATCTACATTAAGTTTCTATAGATTTGCCTATTCTGGACATCTTGTATAAATGAAATCATACAACCTGAGGAGTTTGTGTCTGACTTCTTTCATGGTTCTTACGTCAGTACTTTATTCCTTTGTATGGCTGTGTATGTAATATTCCACTGGAGTGATCAGTTGATGGACATTTAAGTTGTTTACGCTTTTTGGTTAATATTAATAATGATGTTTTGAATATTCTGTACAAGGTTTTGTGTAGACATATGTTTTCATTTCTTTTGGATATATACCTAGGAATGGAATTGCTGGATCATATGGTCGCTGGGTTAAATTTCTTGAAGAATGGCTAAACTGTTTTCCGTGGTGGCTGCATCATTTTACATTCCCACCAGCAATGTATGAGGGTTCCTAGTTCTTCATTCTCACCAACTCTTGTACTTGTCTTTTATTATAGAGCCATCCAGTGGGTATAAAATGGTATCTCATTGTGGTTTTTATCTGCATTTTTCCTAATGACTAACCATGTTGAGCATCTTTCCATGTGTTTATTGGCCATTTGTATATCTTTTTTTTTTTTTTTGAGTTGGAGTCTCACTCTGCTGCCCAGGCTAGAGTGCAGTGGCACGCTCACAGCCACTGCAGCCTTGACCTGCTGGGCTCAGCCGATTCTTCTGCCTCAGCCTTTCCAGTAGCTGGAACTACAGGCACGTACCACTATACTTGGCTAATTTTTTGTTTTATTGTAGAGACGAGGTCCTGGACGAGGTTGTCCAGGCTGGTCTCGAACCTGTGGGCTCAGGCAGTCCTCTCATCTAGGCCTCCCAAAGTGCTGGGATTACAGGCATGAGCCACCACGCCTGGCCTCATTTTTTTTTTTTTTTGAGTTGGGGTCTCACTCCTTTGCTCAGGCTGGAGTGCAGTGGCACACTCATGGCCACCCCACTGTTGATCTGCTGGGCTCTGGTGATCCTTCTACCTCAGCCTTCCAAGTAGCCGGAACCACAGGCGCGTGCTACCATGCCTGGCTAATTTTTAAAATTTAATTATGAAGCTGGGCTCGGTGACTCAACCTGTAGTCCTGTGCTTTGGGAGGCTGAGGTGAGTGGATTGCCTGAGCCCGCGGGTTCGAGACCTGCCTGGGCAACTTGGTGAGACCTCATCTCTACAATAAATCAAAAAATTAGCCAGGCGTGGTAGTGCGCGCCTGTAGTTCCAGCTACTTGGAAGGCTGAGGTGGAAGGATCGCTGGAGCCCAGCAGGTTGAGGCTGTGGTGGCCAGAAGTGGCCACTGCACTCCAGTCTGCGCGACAGAGTTAGACTCCAACTCAAAAAAAAAAATTTTTTTTATTTATGATAGAGACGAGGTCTCATCAAATTGCCCGGCCTGTCTCAAACCCACGGGCTCGGCAACCCACTTGCTTCGGCCTCCCAAAGTACTGGAATTACAGACTGAGCCACTGAGCCTGGCCCATTTGTATACCTTAAAAAATGGAAGAATTTCTTGATTGAGACGATGGTAACTAATATTTTCCACTAGAATAAGTTGTTCTACTCTCTAAGGATGACAGCCACTGTGAGGCAGTGTAGGGCAGTAGAAAGAGCACCATGTAGCAACCATGCATTCACCGCACATGTATGCGGTGTCTATCCCTCAAGACGGAGACCATTCCTAGTCTAGTATGTCCCCTCCCTGTCCCTACCACTTATAGTTTAGGCAGTTACAACATGGGGTAATAAGTGCGATAAGGTGGTAGCACACATTCTCTCTCTCACATGGAGTTCACACATAGTTCTTACCAAGTGCCTTTACATTTGTTAATTCATTTAATCTCAAAAGAATTCACTTAGGCCAAGTGAGGTGGCTCAGTTCTGTAATCCCAGCACTTTGGGAGGCTGAGGTGAGAGGATTGCATGAGTCCACGAGTTCAAGACCAGACTGGGCAACTTGGCAAGACCTCATCTCTACAATAAATCAAAAAATTAGCTGGGCATGGTGGCGTGTGCCTGTAGTGCCAGCTACTTGGAAGGCTGAGGTGGAAGGATCGCCTGAGCCCAGCAGGTCAATGCTGGGATAGCCGTGAGTGTGCCCACCTCACTCCAGCCTGAGTGACAGAGTGATACTTCAAATAAAAAAAAAAAAAGAATTCATTTAACTTCACAAGACAGTGAGGTCGATGCTTCATGACAAATGAAGAAGCCGAAACTCAGATAATTCAGATGACTTACACAAGGTACCTAATTACTGGGTGGTCGAATGGAAATTTGGACCCAGGCAGTTTATGACCATAATCTATAATTATGGCCATAATCTATCTATAGTCTGCTCATATATATGATGGAAGAAAGGGAAGAAGCTATGAAAACACACAGAAGGTTTAACTATAATGCTATGTATGTGGCAAGGGG